AATAAGTTGTTTTTAGAATAAAATTAAACTGAACAATAAAATCATAGAATTGACATATGAATTTTTATGACTGATCAATTTTTCATTTGTAAATACTTCAAAACATAATAAAAGAAGCCTGATAACCTGAGCATTCTATTTCAGAAGTGAGATGGGATGTGCAAAGTGTGAAATTTAGTTAGTCCCTTTCAGTAAGTCATTGTGTGTTAGCCCAATCTTACAACACAGAAGTGTTTTGTTTGGATTTGAAGGAAATTGTTACAGGTGTGGCAGTAATTTCTTGTGTGAAATATAGTTAGCAAAGGAGGAGAAAAATTAGAGAAATTAATTAAAGAAAAAATTCTGAATGAAACATGGGAACAAAAATTCACAACAAAGTGCGAAAGATAAAGATTGTGAAAAAAGACTAGTAGAATATAGATAATTAGAAATAATAAAATAATAACTATAACAAAATGATATAGAGATCAATTTTTTAAATAATAAAATCAATTATAAAGACATCTTTCAGGTAAAGTGGTATGACATACGTTTTATATAAATGGAAATTAAATAAATTTTTATTAAGCGTTCAATAAAAGTAATTAGTGAAAATGCTATTAGTTAAAACAAAATTGTGTTTATTTTGAGGTGTTGATCCTCTAACCAGAATTTTAAACTAGTAAATATTCTAGTGTTCAACATACAGTTAACTTTTTAAAGCTCTAGTTATAGGGCCGCAAGCTAAAAATAACGTAGTTTTTTAACATGATGAATAAACCTGTTAAATGATAATAACTTTCTTATTAATTATAAGCAAGAATAATACAATTTTTATATCTTATCCTGTATGATGTATTTTATTAATTTAGGATTACAGTATGTTTTTTGCTCAATTACATTTTACTGGCATATTTATGGAAAACTTACTGAAAGATTTAGCTCCAGTATATATCGGTTTTTAATACAAATTTTATTATTGCTCGAAAAAAAAATGCTAAGAATGTGATTTTTTTTTCAGACTCTGATGGATACGAGTTTGTTATTGTCTCCCTAGATAATAAACAATGGCAGTTTGAAGCCACCAGTAATGATGTAAGTAACAAACTAAATGCTTAGACAATAATAAATGCAAGTTGATATTGTTTCTTTGACTGTCTATTCAAATACATCTTTCTCAGACTCTTTTAACAGTGGCAATCAAGATATACCAGGAAAAAAATTGGCTGCCAACTGTTAGTGGCCAACTAAGGGGAAGAGATGGTTGTATAGGTTTTTAAAATGCAACACATGTTGTCACACTTTGTGCTAGTGGCCAACTGAGGGGAGAGATGATTATACACGTTTTTAAGATGCAACAAATGTTGTCACACTTTGTGCTAGTGGCCAACTGAGGGGAAGAGATGATTGTATAGGTTTGTAAGATGCAACACATGTTGTCACACTTTGTGCTAGTGGCCAACTGAGAGGAGAGATGATTATACAGGTTTGTAAGATGCAACACATGTTGTCACACTTTGTGCTAGTGGCCAACTGAGGGGAAGAGATGATTATACAGGTTTGTAAGATGCAACACATGTTGTCACACTTTGTGCTAGTGGCCAACTGAGGGGAAGAGATGATTGTACAGGTTTGTAAGATGCAACACATGTTGTCACACTTTGTGCTAGTGGCCAACTGAGGGGAAGAGATGATTGTATAGGTTTGTAAAATGCAACTAATCTTCAACCGTAATGCGTAGAAGTCTCAGTGACAACCAATTCAAAAAATGGCTTACTTCAGTACAGCTTCATTAGTGGTTAGATCATGTGATGTGGTGTAAAGAGTTATGTTTCACCACTTTGTTTGTCCTGTTACTAGATGGTGCAGTGATGTGGAAAATATTTCAACATTACTAGTGATCAGTGTTCCCTCTAAGCTGCACAACAACTAATCAAATGCCATGCACTTCATTATTCCAGACATGCACATCCTCAGTAATGGTGAAGAGTTTCAACACGTTGATGGCTTTAATGACTCTGGCAGTCAATAGGCCTAAAGCTCAAATATCCAACTGATAGCATTCCAAACTGGCCTAATGACCCAATATGGTCAATGGTATAAAAATATCCCCACTCCTAAAAAACATTTGTAGTGCACATCTGCACATTGCCTTGATACTGATGTACATGAAAACATTCATTTTGCACATGGATTGAAAAAATTAGAGGGAACATTGCTAGTGATCATTTCCAATCCACATCTTCACCCTAATGGACAAGTTCCAAGACAACAGTTCAACAATCCACTGTGCTTGTATTATTCATAATTGAAGACTACAGCATTAATCTTCCTTAGGTAATACATTTATTGAATCTTAGACTGATTACTGAGATGAACTTGTTTGTTGTATTTTGTTCATAATCCTCTGTTGATATCTGTGAACTGGTTGTAGATCTTAATCCTTAACAATTAAACAAGACACTTTCCATGCTGTGGAGCTTGTGTCATGTTCTAGGCTATTATAGCAAAACGTAATTAAGTGGAATCCTCATAAAATGACTAGATTTTGTGACTTACCAAATAACTAGACGATAAGCAAAGGCAATTTGAGGTCAAGAAAAACTTAAATAGCTCACATGGTTTAGGCTGTAGATATTCTAGTGGAACATAACTCATAGTATATATATGTGTGTGTGTATTTAATAAACATACAGCAGTTAATTAAAAATGTGATTATTTTGTTGCTATTTCACATTATTTATGAAGGTATGCCCAAAGAAATATTTCAGAAACTGTTAATTACATAATGTACAGAATACATCTATGTGTATAATACACACTGGCATTTTGAAAAGTTAGTAAAATACATTTTACATGTATATGTGTAATAATCATTGACAATTTGAATGACGAGTGGTTATATGATATACACAATACATGTACATATGTATATAATAGACCATAACTGATTGAACAGTTAGTGGTTACATAAAATGCATTTTATATGTACATATATAATAACCATTGACAATTTAAACAACTAGTGGTTATATGTTATACAAAATACATGTACATATATAATAGACCATGACTGATTGAACAGTTAATGGTTACATAATATACAGTATGCATGTAATATATGCTGACATTTTGAATATTGAGTGATTATTAAATACATAGAATAAATACTTGTATATAATTGTAAAGGCCAGTGTTTTCTGGATATGGAAATGAATTAACTTTAGGTATAGAAAAAATTATTATTTCTGAAACACCAGATATACATTATAAGCTACTTGTAAATTTACATATAATAAGTTATAACCTGCACATAGTTTGTATTAAGCACTAATTTCAACATATGGTTTATCTTTTATGTGCAGTATGTACAAAGTAGTCATACATGTCATACATAGATATTTTTAAAATGTTTTCATAAGAAAGTGTGATAGGAATGTGTTAATATTTTTGATAGAAGATTGAGAACACAAGTAATGTTTTTATGTAAACACCATGTACACTATCTAAAACCAAGTAGAAATACTTGAAATATTCAAGTAAAAGCTATCAAGACATTTAACTTTATTTCTGAATTGTTGAGCTTTGTGGAAATGTGACCTAATTTCGGTAATTTCTAGTAAACTGTAGGCCAAGTAATCACCGACAGTTTGAGGATTTAGTGGTTACATATGTAATTTTTTTGTAACATTATACACCAAATTTGAGTGTTGATTTTATTTGTACAAATATTTTACAGGAGAGGGATGGTTGGATCACTGCTATTGAGCAACAAATTCTTTCTAGTTTACAAGGAATACAAAGCACTAAAGCCAAGGTAAGAAGTGTAAATTATGAAAAGATTCCAAAGATATGTATATATGCATCTAACTAGTTTCAAATTTTACAGCTTTCAAAAATCTGGCAATCTTGAAAAAATTGAACAAATTTAAGTTCTTACAAGTGCAAGAGTGATATGTAAAGTATCTTTATGCATTTGATTAAATAATGATCTTTGATATGTTTGAACTTATATGCAACTTTGATCTTTTGTTATGTATTATTCAGAAGATATATCATTGCTGTCAATTTACCTTTTTGTTAACTGTAATACATATTCAGTCAGTATTGCTTGTGGGTTTTAGAGGTAAGCTCAAATTAAGTTAAGAATTTCTATGCACATATATTTTTTTATTTGTGAGATTTTTGTTTGATTATGCATTTTTTCTTCCAGTCCAGTTCAAGTACTCAGCTTGGAGCAACTACTGTTCAAGCTATACGAAACCCAAACTTAGGAAACGCACACTGTGCTGACTGTGATGCTACAAGTGAGTTGTTTTATTTCTTCATTTAGTTTCTTGACTCTACTATGAAGACCTCGATAACTAGGTTACTAGTTTCTGTTTGATATAGGATTATTGGGTTTTATGGTAAGTGCATAAGCACATATATGAAAGAGTTATCAATCAATCAATTTTAAAACCTGGAAGAATTCTTAGCAAGGCATATGTTCTTTTTACCTTGTTATTCACTCTTCATAGTTTGAGAAGGTTGATGACAGTATGTTTTAAGAATTTTGTTCTCACTAAGTAATAACCTGTGGACAACTTCAATAGAAGAGTTGAAAGCTTGCTTAATAAATATATAGTGTAGAAATCATAGCAAAATTAAGTTATTTTTATGATGTTATCACAGTATGAATTTAAAGTAGAAAAAATTGCACTATTTACCAGAGAAAGCAAATCAAAGGTACTTTTCATTCAGCATTGAATAGATTCAAGTTTCATTCAATACTTGACTGTTTTGTGTGTTCTTAGATTTCCACAAAATACTTGAACTATTACGTGGTCATTTAAAATATACTTGTGCAGCTTTACTTTATATCAAAGGACGTTTTTATTTTCACTTTACTACATTAGTGGGTGTCATAATTTTTCATTTGAAAAGTCTTTGCTATTTACTTTCTCTTCTGAAATCTGTACAACATTACTCACTAGAAGTTACAGTAAATTCATAATTTTATGTTCTCATTTTGTTACTTGAGTATAACTTGTGTTCATCATGAAAGTTTACAATCTGGCCACCAGGTGGACTTCTTTATTATTATAAGGAAAGAAAAGGGGACAGGGATAATATAAACATTGAAGCCAATTTTTATTACTTAATAGTCATGCACTTGTCATGTTAAAACTTGGTTTTAATTCCAAAAATATATATTTATTATACATTTTCTGCTTGAGAAACACAATATTAAAGTTTCAATAATTTTAACTTGTAAAAATTAGTAGAGCCCTAATATGAGAATGTGAGTTATAAGGCTTTCTCTTTATATTTCATTTTCTTATTTTAGGGTTCTGCTAATTTTCCTCTTAGATGCAAAAGAACTTGGAAAGTTGCATCCTAAATATATACACAAAACAGTAAACTTTTTAACTTTTTCAATAAAATAAAACAAATGTGGTGTAATTTAAAATTGTATTGTAACACAACAGAAAGTGAAGCCATACTGACACTTATTGATAAAACTTGTTAACATATTTGTTTTGTATAAACACTGTCCAATTTAACAAATTTTATCAAATGTGTTTGGTAACAGATAAGAAATTGGAGAATAATGTTTTCAGAACATAAGGAGTTACAATGTTGGAAAAAAATATCTTCTTAAACTTGAAAACTACATAAACCCATATGTATTATATTAATAATAAACAAAAGTGATATATACACGTAGATGCTCGTACTGTGAAAATACTGCAGGTGCTTGTTCTCTTGTGTGATCTCGATATTCTTTTTATATGGTAAAAATTTATAATAAGTGTTACAAAAAAAACGTGTAAAGACTTAATTTTAAAATGAGATGTATGATAATCTTTCAGAAGATTTTAAAGTGTGAAGTCATACTGGATAAACATGATCACCAAAATAAATGAATATCCAATAACTTTGCACCACAAGTAAAAAAAATGTGTTTTTGAGAACACCTTAAATTCTTCATACCAAAAGATATCAGAATTATAAATATTTGAATGAGAATATTACTGTATATCTGAAGACCAATGGCTTAGGCTTTTGTGTATAAAAGTTAGAATGATTGTACAATAATAAAACCCATTTTTTTTTTAACACTGTGATTTTGGTCAACAGGTGTCATCACATACAAATTTGAATATATGCTTATTTGATACATATAAGTATAAGAACAAAAACTGTTTGCTTGAAAGGCTTGCATTCTACCTAAAGATGGAACTATAAATTTAAAATTTGTACGTTTCTGTAATAAGAGACTAGTAGATTTATATGAAGTTATGAGGGCCCAGAATATTTCTCATGAGGAATCAAATTCTGAATTGCAGAGATTTTTAGATAAAGTGTTCTTAATGGCTTTATCTTCTCACATATTATGCTTGGTTACACCATTTCTAAAAATTTGATGAACCTAAAATACAACAAAAAAACCTGGTAAAATTACAGACCTTATTAGCTAGATAGCATGCCAGATCAGTCAGTTAAATGTGAAATTTCTGGAAATTTTTTGGAAAGTCATTACACTTAGACTAAAACAAATTAGTCATTTTTGACTATTCTTTTAGTTTTTGAATTAAAAATTAGTGAAAACTGTACTTATTATCTTGAAGTTTAACTAGGCTAAGTGGAAACGTGAAAATAGTAAACATTTATTCATTTTCTACAAGCTAAAAATGATTGTTTACATATGCCTATAAAACAATCTGGTTTATCTCTGCATCATGTATTGGAAGATGTTTACTGACATTAACAAAACTTTAAAGTCAGTATATGATGAATGATCTTAAATCAGTATTCTTCTACATATTACATAGTACATAAAGTTGGTATTGCTTCAACCAAAGGAGAAACATAACACTTACAGATCAATAATTTCTATATAATTGAGTTTATTTTCAAGTTGAAAACATTTAAAATTCTACAGTTTACTAAATATGTAATAAAGCATGTTGTACCAGTGTTTTACTTGTTTTTTTTTAGACAGTCCACTACATGGTATTACTGCTGTTACGGTACATTTCATTGTCTAAAAGTAATTTGCCTTTCCAGTCAGTCATGGAAAATGTTGTTTGCAGAAAGAAACATATCACTAGCTTTACTTAAACATCTTTAATATTGCAGAAACATAACACTAGCTTTACTTAAACAACTTTAATATTGCAGAAACATAACACTAACTTTACTTAAAACATCTTTAGTAAGACTAACTTTAATTAAAACATCTTTAATATTTTAGAAACATAACACTAGCTTCAATTAAAACATCTTTAGTATTGCAGAAACATAGCACTAACTTACTCAAAATATCTTTAGTGTTTTATAAACATAAAATTATGTTTATGTAAAACAACTTTAGTATTGCAAAACTCTTCATAAATTAAATAATTTGTGATTTATATTTTAAAAAATAAGTTGTACCAAGAATATTCATTCAAGGAAGCCACATCTGTAGAATTGTTAAATGAAGACTTGAGAGATTCTATTTGTGTGTATATACAAATGTTATTAGAAAGTCAGTTAAGAACCATACTGTGCTCCCTCAGTGTAATGTTGTGGCCCGGCATGGCCAGGTGGATAAGGCGCTCGACTCGCAATCTGAGGGTCACGGGTTTGAATCCCCATCCCACCAAACATGCTTGCCCTTTCAGCCGTGGGGGCATTATAATGTGACGATCAATCCCACTATTTGTTGGTAAAAGAGTAGCCCAAGAGTTGGCGGTGGGTGGTGATGACTAGCTGCCTTCCCTCTAGTCTTAGTGCAGATAGCCCTAGTGTAGCTTTGTGCGAAATTAAAAAAAACAAAAAACAAACAAACAGTGTAATGTTACTGTCTTGTTGATTATTTACTGTAAAATGTAGAAACAATCTAGATAATGGGAAGGAAGAAAAGATAGATATCTAACCATTTTTGTCATGGTATTGGTTATTGAATTTGATTTTAAATTTTCATTAATTTTTACTGTCTTGTTTCTTGTTTTTTACCAAAAGCGTGGTCTTTCCTTATACAGAATTTCTGTCTTGATACACTGATTTTGTTTATGTAACTTCATTAAAATGTGTGATATTGTACAGAACTAAGTAAATGTAATTAAACTGTTGGTTCTGTTATCAAATCTGATATGATGCCAGCATTATTTATAAGGTCAAAGGTTGTGTGTGTGATCTGTTTGCGTAATGTAAAACTTAACATAATATACATTATAAAAATTTAGAAGTCATTAAGTTAATAGCGTTTTAATATTATTAAAATACGTATTAATGTTATTTTATTATTATTTTTGTTTTAGATCCTGATTGGGCAAGTCTCAACCTGGGAGCTTTGATGTGTATTGAATGTTCAGGCATTCACAGAAATTTAGGATCTCACATTTCACGAGTTCGTTCTTTGGACTTGGACGAATGGCCGTAAGATGAAATTCTTGTTGTTCTTTTTTGGTATAAACATAACACTAATAGAACTTACATATCTATATCTGAAGAAACTTAAGATGTTTATCCTGACAACCTAAACTAATCCTGTAGGAAACAAGTAACACTTGTGGCTTCATTTCTTCTTACAGGCCTGGACATGTCAGTGTAATGATGTCTCTTGGAAACAAGGTGGCCAACAGCATATGGGAAGGGAACACCAGAGGAAGAGCAAAACCTACACCAAATTCTAGCAGGTAGTTTGTCATAAAACAAAGACACATCTAACGACATGTTGAATATTTTCTGTAAATCTTGTGATAATTTGTTCCTGCTATAGAATAAACTATCATCTATTTTTGTTAAAACTTCATTGATGTATCTTTCCTAGGGAAGAAAAGGAAAGGTGGATTAGAGCTAAGTATGAGTTAAAAGAATTCCTTGCTCCCATTAACACTACCATTCCTCTAGGACAGGTGAGTTGTGAATGAAGTTAGCATAAATCAACATCTCATATTCTTGATTCTTTTCTTTTCAATTATAAATGCTACCATATTTGTCGGTGTATAAGACGATACTTTTTACTCTTAAAACAATGCCTGGTTTTACCCCTCATCTTATACACAGGTTCAAAGATAAAGTTCCTGTTAGTACTCTCTGATTAATAGCATATTTAACCAAAACTACATTGGCATTGTGCCATCTACTGCATTAAAATAACATATTTGTAATTGTATCATTTGTCTTCATTTTTCATAACTAGAAGTTATTTATTTTGCTTACTATTTACAATTAGTCAAGACATTTTTGACTTGGAATGTATTGATTTCATCTGTCAAAGTAAAATACTGCTAATATTACATCAGAAAAGTTAGTTTCTGTAACGTCCACTAACTTAGTAAACATGTTTTTATAGTTTATCACTATATCTTTTGGTTTAATATTTTTTGTAATAGAATATGAGTTCAACTGTAATGAAAACTTTGTAAAGTTATTTATTACATGTTTGTGACTTAAGTTATGCTGCATTAAGCTGTCTGTAACATAAAAAATCACACTTGTGTTTGTATTGATTACTCCAGAGCACAGGGTAGCACAGTTTAAAAATAATTTCTAAGAATTTCTTTACAAAAGTAACACCCTAGACTTACTTGACAATAGAGGTTATCCTATACACCAAATGTCAAAGAAATACACTTAATTTGCTCAAGAAATCCAGTTTAGTCTTATACATGGGATCATCTTACACACTGGCAAATATGGTATGTGAAAGTTTTTGTTTTTATATAAGTGGGGTTAATGTTTGAGCATTATGTTGCAGGGTAAATTTAAAATTCAAATTTTGTAACATTCAGAAGTGTGTGTGTATGAAACTCAGTGAAAAACTAGTCGAATGTAAAGCTACAAGCACTTAATAAGCTATATTTGGATACATTATTTTATACATGAATTGCATTCATCGAATTTCCATAGACATTCTAAAGTTCGTTTTAATTGACACAAAAAAAGAAATTACTTGTAAAATTGTGATCAATACATTAGTCTTAAGTATGCTTCAAAAACTAACTTTCTACAAAGACCTTATAAAAAAAATATTTTAATGAAATGAGAATGGCTCGATCCAATATTGGGGAAGGAATATTGACTGTTATTCTAAATTTATGAAGTGTATCTATATGAAAGGTGGTAAGCTTTTAGTAAAATGTACAAGTCTGTTGTACACAAAAAACCAGATGTGTCACAAAAGTATTTGTACTCAAGATATGTCTGTGAATTGAAAATTTCAGACTGTGAGAAGTCAGAGTACAAGATGAAGCTCATGTGAAGAATAAAAATACTTTTGTCCATCATAAAGTTTGCATTTGCATAACCTCTAAAATCTCTGAAATGGATATATAAATGGTTTTTCAGTATCTTTATATGTATCTGATATTTACTCTCTGTCAGTAAATCAGTAGTATGGGGTAAAATGAATAGTTGATTACTCTGATAACAAATACATAATGTTATGTTTAAAGGGTATGTTGTATAAAAGGTCATGATATGTGCACTTTGACCCCAGCCCATACACATAGGGTTAACCTTATTTCAAAGTTTTCTTTAACATAAAATCAAAGAGCACACTTCCAAGGGGGCTAAGCCTACAAAGCTCTAGTGTTTGCAGCATTTATATTACCAAAATAAATAAATAGTGAATGGAAACTACTTAATTTTATTACTCTCATTAATATTTACCATTTGCATATAACAAGTATATAAAACAAAGAAACACCTCTTGATGACCACTTTGCTTAAATGTTAAATTTTTAAAAACAATTTCCTGAAATGCATTATATTTTTTATTTTTTGTAGTTTGGTTTGTTTGTTTTAGTATAAAGCTACTATCTCTGCTCTGTCCATTGCAAGGAATTTATCCCAGAATTGTACTCTTATAAGTCTGTAAACTTACCTCTGATCCAGTAGGGGATTTTTTTTTTAGCTGTGTCATAGTGGCTCACAAAATGACTCTGAGTTTTTCAAGTACAAATTTTTAGCTCATAGCTCCCTCATCTCTTGACCAATTGGAGATCTAGTACAGTTTAGGACCCAAGAGGTCATACTCTTTCGATTGATATATTTGACCATGCCAATGTCTCATAGATTAATTTACTGTAATCCTGCCTAAAAATAATTTCAATTTCAGGGTAGGCTGGTAGAGATCTTGATGAGTAATAAAATCAAATCAGGTATATGTGCACCCCATGCTTGGTATTGCTGATGCACAAAAATGTAGCTAATAAAAGTTAAAAAAAAGGTCTTATAGATTAATTTACTCTAATCCTGTGTAAAAGAATTTCAAGTGCTGTGGCTACTGAAGATACGCTCTTCTTTACAAGTAAAAAGGTCTGACTTTTTAAAAATTGGTATTGTATTATAATCAAAAGAAGGTTTGTTTGGTGTGAGGTTGTTTTTATGACTATCAATTTATTATCAATATTGACTGAATAATTTATCTCGAAATAGTCCTCTCTCCGACCCAACGTGAAGCAGAACAAACATGATTTAGATTCTTGCTTCACTAAACTACAAGGATTGTCTTGACTTGCTATCAAATAAAACACACTATGTACTCAAGCTGGTGCTGTTTTCAGGGTCAATATTGAATACAAAGAGGGCAACATGAGTGTAGTTCAGAAATGTTGGGATGAAATACAACAAATTATTATTTTTTAGGGGAAAATAACAGCATGTTGGTCTCAGGGCCTTTTAGTGAGCTCTTTGGTATAAATTTTGTTTCCTTTAAGTATTTTAGAAACACATTTTTTTTAATAATCCAAGTATCATTATTAAAACTTAGTCTGAAAGAACATTTTACCCTAACAGTGTTTATGTAATAACTGGGTTAAACCATCACTTCCATGGTGGAAGTGGCTGTATGATCAGTGAAATGCCATAAGATAGATTTTTTCCTTGGCATCTCTTTTCCTTTCTAACATGTTCTTTTATTGACTTAATAACATCAAAATCTGTACATCTCCAGAACGTTCTCTAATTTTGAAGAAAAAGAATGTATGTCCAATCACATGTGTTCTAAAAGGTGACTTGCCCTATGTATTTAGTTTCATTTTTTATTCAAAATCAAACTTAAACCTGTAAAATATTGGACCAGACCACAGCATTGTTTCTCTTAGAAACCTAGTCTTCTTAACTTGTTTTGATTAAAACCTGTTTGATCTACACGTAACCCTTCGATAACCAATATTTTCAGTTACAGAAATATATACACTTTCTTAGTTTTAACTTAATATTGTGGTTTTTTGCAGTCATCAGTTACAATTTAAATATGTTGTTTAAATTTTAGTGTTATTATTTATTATCATTCCAGCAACTACTGGAGACCGTTCATAAAGTGGATGTTAAGATGGTTGCACTACTTTTAGCCCATGCTGATTCAGCTGATCAGGTGAATGTGATGGTTAGCCAGCGTGACTTCCGATCTCCACTTCATCTTGCAGCAGCATCAGGAAACCTTGCAGTCACTCAGCTACTGATTTGGGTAAGAATTACAATTTATCGAAGTAAATATTACTGTAATGAACCAATGTATGTTACTTTGTTTTATTATTAAGCTACTCTTAAATTTTCTAATATGCTCTGGTTTCATGTGTTTATTTTTATCAGACTTCCATTGATGAAGTAAATTGCTTATATTTGCACTAAATGGAAATTAAGATTTGTGTAAGCTCTATTATTAACCTAAATGTATGGAATGCAGGTTACATTTCAAAATGAAATAACACTTACTAAGATAAAACATACTTATTTGGAAATATTAGTTATATTAATTTATTTCATTTTATAGTTTGATCACACAACTAGTTAGGTCTATGCAAAAACCATATATCAGGGGTTTTTCACAGAGGGGCCGTAGCAAATACACAAAATTATTTAACAGAAGAAAGTATTATAAAGTAAAGCTGAAAAAGTTAAATCAATTAATCTTGAAGCATTCTCTAAATAGATTGTTTGCAATGATTCAGATGGGATGTGGATTGTTTTGGGGCCTTGTGTTTAGAAAGTTTTGGAGTCCGTGCCATAGGTCATCAGTTTTAATTATTAGTCTTAAGGTTAGTGAATCTAGCCTATTCAGAACTGAAGAGTTATTTACAGCTTATTCATATTACAGTTTTAAGTAGCTCTGGTAATAAAATTTTTCACCCTAGAATTACTAACAGATCCATTTGACTTCTGAAACAAATTTTTCTTAACTATTTTTGTACCACATTGCTTGTGAACCCATTATTTTGTTAATTTAATTAGTTGGTCCCTAGTAAGATACGGGGCACACAAAGAAATGCAGTCAAAGATATTGTCAGTATTACAATTAACCTTCCCACTGCTTAATTCTGGGGTCCCTTATGTATTATATATATATATGTATAGAAAATGAAAGATTGATTGCCGTTTGTTTGGTCAGACCTTTATACTGAATGCTGTAAGAAACAAAAGCATAGAATTTTTCAATAAAATTCTATATGTAGATCCTGTTGGTAACAAATAATATCAAAATGAATCAGTAATTTGAGGATTAAAATAAAAAAATATTCATTAAGTACTTTTACTAAATATTTTACAGACTTCTTCAATTTATGTAATTTGTGATCCTGAGGGTTTTCACTTGTGTCTCATCATTTTTGTTTTAGGAATTTGTACTAATGTTAAGTTATGATATTAGGTATTAAAGAATTGTATAAAAGTATATAAATCAGTTGCAGCATGTTATAATGCTCCTAATTTCATGTGCTGTCCTATGTTTATTTCTTACTGACTTCAGTAGAATGTGCAAACATTTGGCCTGATGTTCATTATAAAAATCATGCTAAAATAATTTTTATCATGAATTTTAGGCCTGTTGGTTCCTTTGTTTCACCACTAGTACCATAAATAGAAATCTGATTCAAGAATACTTAGTTACAGAAGAGGAGTGAAAAGTTAAAGAAAATGATTATATTTGACCTTTGACATGAGTAAATATTAGCTTCCCCCTATATATAAAGAATATTACAGATTAGGAATATTAAGGTACTTAAAAAGTGATCCGTGGAAGGCAGCAGTTACAAGAGTGATATGGCACATCAACAGAAATATAGAATGATTACTTTGTGTTTTAGGAATATAGACAAGCAATTGACATTAAAACTTATTATGCATGTCTTCAAGGAACGTTTAGCATCATTGGAACGTTTAAGCAAGCCTTCGTAAAGGCCTAGTTAGCCTATTAAATGTAATTAATTTTTATTGTGTTTCTCAATTTGAATTCATTACTTGAAATGTATTTAAATTATTGAAAACAAAGCTCATAAACATCAAATTGGAATGTGTGTCTTATTGCTATTGTACAGCATTTGAATTAATTACCTCTTCGATTAGAACTCTCTCACATTGATTTCAAACAATAGTTAGAAAACATTTATTATTTTGTAGATAACAGATAGAAAAAGACAATAAGATGATAATTTTTATACGCATCTTCTTAGTCACGGGAAAATGTGTGTTAAATATGTGCTGCTCTCTATCTTTCTATTTTGAACCTCAAGAGCATCATGTTCAATCAAGAATTATATGGATTGGAGATATTTACTTATATATATATATATATATTGTCACGTGTAGTATTATCACAAAAAAGATGTTTGACTTTGATTAAGTACATTCAGTAAGTAGTTTTCTGAATGATAGTGTTTTACTTTCTACTTTCTCAGAATAACATCAATGTGAAAGCTATTGACTCAGAAGGCAGGACAGCTCTTGTTTATGCAAGAAATTCGGGATTTCAAGAAATAGAAGACCTTCTGCTTAGTAGTGGTTGTCCAGACCAGCCTCTTGCCCCACCGTCAGGAACTCTACCTCGCCGAAGGGGAAGTATTTCCAAAAAGTCTCCAGAGGTTCTTGACAAACTCCCAGCCAGCATCATCTAGTAGTAGAGATATAAAAATATCATTTTTGTGAGAACTATGTTAACACTGGCCCAAATATGAGACATTATCGATGTAATTTTTTCCATCACCATAACAGAAATATACCTGTTGTAAAAGACATTCATTTTATCATCATCTCATGGGAAAAGAAACCCAAGTGCTGGTAAAATATTATTCATTTCATCATCAGTTGCAAGTATTTCCCCTACTTGTGCATTAAATGTTAGTTTATAATTACCTGTAGAAATTACACCAAACTCTAGTTTATCAGTTTTTGTGAAATAACTTATCTCACCCCAGGACCTGTTCCTCTGCTTCATTAAGCCCCTCTCTCACAAAAGAAAAAAAAAATATCACTATATTAACTTTGATAAGTGCAGTTGATTGTTTCCTGATAAATAGTTTGTTTGTTTAAGAAGTGAGGAATACTCTGAAGAATAAATAGTTTACTGTTTTGAGTAAATATCTAAAGAATCAGTGCATTGTTTGAAAAATTATACCAAACACTAATTGTTGATTTATTGTTTTGAAAAAATATTCCCAAAACAATGTATTGTTTTGAAAAAGTTATGCAAGAATCATTTTAATAATTCAAAGAAATACTCCTTAGAACAGTGTATAAGTATTCTATAGCTATGGTGCCATCAATATGGTAGATATGCTTATGAGTAATTTTATATATGAAAAACAAATTTTCATTGCAACAATATCAGTAAGTTAACAGGAAATGAGTAACTTCTTGTTTATTAGCAAACTATTCATCTTTATCATTATTTGATTATCTCCGTTCATGATCAGCTCATCATCACTCAATATTAAATTAACTTTAAGAAAAATACAGAGTTCTGAACAAGTCAGCTTCTAATCTTTGGTGTCATAATATAAGGAAGATTATGTCATATAAGTAACAAACTTTATCTCTGAAGGTTTCTTTAAAACACAGTAGTTCATTATCTTCTGTGTTCACCCAGTAGTGGCTTAACTTTAGTTTAATACAGGAATATAGGTGTCTTTTCAAATCTGTTTGTCTACAGGTTGGTGCCTATTTTCCAGTGTGATTTATTTACAGTCTTATTTTATTTGAATGTGTGTTCGAGTATGTCCATTTGTGATACCTTGAATTTGTAATTGTTGTGCATTTGATGCAGCTTCATTAGTAACTGCCGTAACATATGTGATTAACAAGCTTATTAACTGGCCCTTTTAGAATTTACTACACAACATGAATTTCTTTCATTTGTTTTTGACTTTAAAAATGTAATTCTTATATTGTCAAGTCATCTGAAGGTAAAAATTCTGTATGTTACCTCTAAATCAGGAACTAAAATGAAGCAAACCCTCCAGCATAATTATTTTCCATGAACATATGTATCTGTGAAACATGTATCTACAACATAACATGTATTTATTTTTTGAAAGAATTCTTTGATTTAAGCCTGATTGAGTAACAACTCATAACGTAGTCCTCTGTTTTCAGTGAAATTGAGCTGGAATGCAGCCTACACCACAGAGAATTATTACCTCTGGTGTTACTGGATTAGTAAAGTTTGTTTCTAAGTTATTCACAGTTGGAAAAAAAGCATTTCTTCTTGTTGGCTCTGCATCAGTTCTTTATTGGTTTGTGGGTTATATAATTTCAACTTATATTTGAAACAGCCAAATTTGACAGAATCTTTAACTTCTGGTGATGTGGTGTTGTTTTTTTTTATTTAGAATTAGCCTTAATTCAAAGAATAAATGGTAACTTTCAGGTATTGTTAGTTGTGTACTGGTTTGTGGGTCCTACAAAGTAGAAAAAATATTTTATATATTGATGGTACAGTAGGAGTTGTGCTGGTGTGTGTGTGTGTTATACAGTAGAAAATAATTTTACCTTCAGATGGTACACTTTGAATTATGTTGGTTTGTGCGAATATACAGTAAGAAAAATACTTTTCTTAGATGATTTTATGACCTGCTAGGTTTGAATTTGCACTTTAAGTGCTTAAATAATCACATGATTCATGTGAATTTGTTATTTACTAATGTTATTGTTATTATTTTTCAAACAAGCTTCAGACTTGTTAAGTTTTATTTTCTTGGAATTAAATTAACATGAAAACTGTGTGTTATTACTGAGAGTGCAGGACTGTCAGACTTCAGTTAATGAGTTAGGTTCTGTTGTTTATCTCACAGGCTATACAAGAATAATAAAACTGTTTGCCTTTGTAACAATTATGCCCCCAAAAAAAGATTTTTAGTTGCCAGCAGTTTTAGGTATATCGCTAATGGCAAACCAACAGTGAATCGAACAATATCAGTAAGAATGTGGCTGTTGTGAAACATTAGTGGAACAATACCTTTGGGAGCCTTTAGTCACACTTCAAGTATTTATTTGTGATATTACTATTAAATGTTACATTCTACATCCAGCAGCTTTAATTTACTGCATAATAGAGTACTTAACATTATTTATTCAAATATCAAAAATACTGTTTTTAATCTCAAAAGTTTCAGACAGTTACATTATAAGTTTGTTTTACTATAGACTTGTGTGAATAGGTGTCTGTAACTATTGTTTGTTTTTTTTTGGTCAGTTTGTTTTAGGTTTAATATGGTATGAATATAAACATTAAGTAGAAATTAAAACAAATTTTTCACTACAAATTTGACATTTGTCTTACCTGCCTAAGGAACCAGTAAAGAGTTGATCGATCTTAAGATGTTCAAGTGTAAACTTTTTTTTTTCTCTGTCCTCATTCTAATAGATACAGATATTAACATTAGACGAGAGAGATAACTGTGTTCAAAGTTTGCTTACTAACCTTTTCATTGATATATTACCAAGTGTTTGTGGATGTTAGCACACACCTAATATTCTGCAAATTTAGAATTTAAACCTGGTTTGAAAACTTCTCTCTAATAACCATTATGTTAAGTTCATAACATTTTTATTGGGAACTATGATTATTTAAGCATTTTATTTCTCAAATAATACTAATCTTTAGATGTTTAGTATTTCTTGATTTGTCAAAAACATAGCTTAAAAATAATTTTGTCAACAGTAACAACAGTTGCACTTGGATTCATAATATATAATTGTTGGCAATAATAGGCATTGATAATTATTAAAGTATTCCTACTTAGAACACAGAAAGAGTGTTGGCATTTCTTGTAATGACAGAAACGGTTGTTCTCTTGTGTGGATAGTGTCAAACAATCACAAAATTCTTCCTTGGTTAGAGATAACGTATTGTATGATATATTAGACTTAACTAATAGTGGTTATCCTCCAAATGCACGTGCTTCTTAGCTCTCCTTACCGGTAATTTAAGAAACCTGTGGTTGTTTGTCTTGAATGTAGAAAACTTCGTCCTGATGTGGTGGTGTTAATGATCTGTGTTAAAGTCCCTTTGTTACTTACAAATACTCTGCAGTGTGGAAATAAGTGCAACTTATGACATTTGATGGCTTTTAACTTCTAACAGAGAGGGTACAATGTTCCTAGCTTAAATACTGAATGTTTAAAAAGATGTACTGAAAGACCTCAGCCTAGACGTGCTAGGCAAACTGTAAGTATTGTAAGGTTGCCATGCAAAGAATGTTAATATTAACTGATATATCAGTCAGAATATTGTGTATATAAAAGTAACCGTTTAGTCATTCAGGTGTTTTTTATTATGATTTGGAAAATTTGGAGGGTACTTGATCGTCAGGTTCCCAAAATTATGCTACCTGTAGTGTTAAAAAACAGACACCAGGTGGTTTTACAGCGATTATGAGTACTCAGTATTTCAGTGTAACCTGAACCGAATGTTAACATCAATAACTAGGAAAGAATAAGAATCAAGAAAACAGGAAGTTAACGCCCTAGCTATAAGTTTCCTCTGAATTCAGTAAAAACTCCATGAGTTAATCTGATAAGAATTATTCAACTCCCTATGGAATAATACTAAAATAAATTCTTAATTATGTTTTGTTATCATAGCAACGTATTTTACTGGGTTGGGGTCCTCATGGTAATGTGTGTGTATAATACACCAGGTCAAGTATAATATTTATAACTTGAGAAATAATTCATACTTCGTTGAATATTTTTTTTTCCGATTTTAACCCCCGCCTCACCATGTTATCATATTTTTTGTGTGTTTTTTATCAGTCAAAAGAGAAGAAACATTTTGTAAGATTTGTGCATATATAGTGTTTCATATTTAATGGATAAAATGTATAAGATTTGAATTTAAAGTGGAGCCAAGTTTTTACAGATATCAACAAAGATCTTCGTATTGTAACGACAGTTGCATTTAGTATTTTCACTTCCTTTTTTATAATGTGTTGATCCAATCGTTCGTTCAAAATCTCTCTGATATATTTCAAGGATTATTGTTTGTTTTGGAATGGAAAACTGAGTTGTAAATAAGAAGTAACTTTGAAATTTCGCATCGAAAGAGGTATTGGCGTGATTAAGAAACTTGGTTTTGTTTGAAAATGTTTTGCAATATTTTTATACTTTGTTGCTGCACTAAATTTTATAAAATAAGCTTCATAACGTAAATTGAACAGTGAAAGTTAATAAAGAAAAAAAATCGTATTAATAGATATCAAATAGAGGTAGTTAATCAAATGTTACCAAAATAGAACATTTAGAGAAAAGAGATAATGGCTTTTAAAATTGTTCATATATATATAAATATGTTGTAAGAAGATAAAATTGGAAGGGTTACGAGGATATGTGGCTCGCGTGACGCTAAGGCCAAAGTAAATTAAAAATCGTGCTTCGTGCCGAGGGGGCGTTTTAAAAGTGATGGTCGAATCCCACTATTAGGGCTGCAAGAAAAACCCATTAGTTGACGATGAGTAATGCTGACTGGCTGAATTCTCTCTGGTCAACAGTCCAAAATTAGGGGCTGCGTCTTCGTAGCTTTGCCATAACTACTATCATTTCAAAGTTAGTAACGGCTTGCGAAGATAGCCTTCAAGTAACTTTACGCGAAATTCAACAAAAGACATGATAGGGAGAGAAGGAGTAAAGCAGGCTTAGTCTCGTATAATGTGTGAAATTGGTTGTGGTTTGTGAATGGAAAGCGTTAAGTCGCATAACTTCATTAGATTTCTGATTTTGTTCTCTATGTGAAAGCTGTTTTGTATCTATTTTTCCTGAATTATTTTATGCTTTTCTCATCCCAACTTTAGAAATTCCACATCAACAGCTTAATCGATGTTTTAACTTCGTATAACATTCTCTGATATTTTAGGTTGGTAGTAATTCAAACTGAACAAAACCTATTGTCGTATATGATGAATTCGAATAACACAAAAGTAGTTTTTTTCTGTAACGAGAGAGTGGGGAAGTTTCCCCAATCACCCAATTGGTGATTATTTAATGTGTCAGATCTGGTATTTTGTTTTATCAATTGTACGTAGTAGATTACAAAAGCTCATATTTTGGAGAAAATAAAGTTTTCTTTTAATAGTATAATTTTAACCTCCGTAAATCTTACGGTCAACAAACTCAGTATTGTGCTTCGAATAAACAAGTTATTTTCGAATGAAAATTTATTTGTTTTCCAGGTTTGGAAGTGTAAATTGTTTATATTTTAGATGATGTTTGTAAAATAATTTTAACGGCATGTATTATTTCAATATAATGTGTCAGTCCCATTACTTGTATTAATATTTACACTAATGCAGGATGATTGTGAGGAACAGCACTACATTCTTAACAAGCCCATACCCGTATATACTGATATGCAAGGTAGCTTTTTTTTTCTTTCAGAATGTGATGTTTGTTAGTGCGTTTGTATACTAGAAATTCATTTTCTTTCTTAGCGTAATTGTACAGTCTTTGTATTATTTGTAATATACTTGATGTATTTATGAAATAATGTTAGACAATATTTTGTCTCTTGTCAGCGCAAAACGAAATGAGAAAAATACCTTTGCTCACATAGATTATGCGTGAATCAAAGAAGTCGAAATCAATAAACTACTTCAACCATTCATTTGCATGTGTGTCTCATTGTAGCTGATAGTATTGTTATTTACAGGAATAATCTTACGCTTACCACTAACCAGTCACTTTACCATGTGTATTGGCCTACCAAAAGGTAGATCTGACCAATATCAGTGACACCGGACTCTAGTAGTATAGGTAAATAAGTGTTGGAGACTAAGGCGTAAGGAGTGCCAAGAGGACGTTATTAAACAATCATTATACAAGCTTTATGTCCAATTTGATGTCGCCAGTGTTCTGTGGCACATTTCTCTGAGTATGTACCTTACACAAACATATAATAATTTCTATAATATGTTGAGTTTGTTAAGTTTTTTCAGCAAATCAAGGAAATAAACAGTAGTAGGGTGTTAAAAGTAGCATGTC